GAGCACACGGCTTCTCTTGGTCTGTTCTTAAGATGCTGGAATGGTAATAGTGTAGGAACTCTGGCATTATACTAACCCCACCCCCTGACAACTGGCAAGACACACACAGTGACACGGCTACATCATATCTATGTCACTTGTTATGGGACTCAGTGCACATGTGCAACCACCCCCCATTTAAGCTACGTGGCCACCCCCTCACTTTCTCTCTCCTATCCTATTTTTCTCTCTAAGCTCCACAGGAGTTGGTTACCTCCCATCCCCCCTTCCTTTCCTGTGTACCAAAAAACTCCACATGGGACCGTTGACTCAGTTTGTGTCTTGTTACTGGATAAACTTTAGACATTTTAACATAGAAGACAATGCCACTACCATACTGTATGGAGAAGATACACAGAATCAGGCTGAGATAGAGATAAAGGCTTCTCTGGTGTTCTCTTTCTGTCTTCTCTGCCACACTCTGTGACCACCCTACTACATCCATGGCTTCTATTACTTTGGAATTCTTTATTCTTATCACTGCTTCTCTACTATAATCAGTCTATGAAGACTAAGTATTCACTGAACTTAGAAGGAGACCCAAATTGAAGCAATTGTATTTGAGTCTCTTCCACATTGGCACACATAGCTGTAACCTCCCTCTGCTGGGACTCCTTCAAAAGATCGATGACTTCATATGATGTGACTCAGATATTTCCAAGCATTCCCAGACTGTGGAGTCAAGAACAGGAGGATCCTTGAGATTCCAGTTTAAATCTGTTCACTCTTGGCTAATATTCCATGAGAGTATTTGCAGTTCTGTATAAAAATCCCAGCTCCAAGCCTTCCTGTGAGACTGGAGGGCAGTTGTCTGATGTAGGTTTGTATTTCAGGGCAAATGTTGTTCTGCCTGTACTCTCCCTGTGCATCTATTCTCTGTACAGTTTTTCCAGGACCTGAAACATACGTTGATCATACTTGGGTTCCCAAATAGTACCAGACCATAACTATTCCAATGAAAATCAACTTGGCTGCCACTACTCACAGTCTTGTGTATCCTGAGCCCTGCCTTTCTGGAGGTTAGGTTACAGAAATCCCTTCCCTGTTACTTCATTCCTTATTATGAGAGTCTCCCAGAAGGAGTGATTGAGCCTCAATGTGACACTAAGCCCAGTGTGGTGTCTGTCAGCTCTAAATGCTTCTCAGACTGTGTGCATGTCCTTAAGTTGACTGAACCTCGGTAAGAACACCGGCTGTACAGACATGTGCATGTGATGATCCAAGGTACAAACACCCACTTCCTGTGACTTCTCACCTTACATTGAATTTCCAGACCCTACCTTGTCCATAGGCTGAGTCCCTTCAATCTCTTCCACTACTGTGTCTATATATAGGTTGGCTCTCTTCCAGTGTTCTTCACTCTCAGCATGTCTCAATTTACAGTGTGTCGATCCCTAAACAGGGATGATTTGAATTCTTTCAGAAAGAACCTTGGCTAATAGAGCATAAGGCATGGGGTGAGGTTACAAAACCTTACTTAAGTCTCTATCAGTGTCTCAGCTATGGTCATCCAAGCTCAAGCTCTCTGGGTGCTACTTAACTTGATGTGTCCTTTCACTATTAAGTGTTACAGATACATGATCTCAGCAGTGTTATTGGGCAACTCTATCTTCACACTGATAAAGGAAGTATTTGTGCACAATCTGCATGGCCTCGGAAATCACCAGTGAACACAAACACCTGTCTTTATGGAAAAGATGGATTCTTCTGTGAGTCCCCTAGAAGGCCACTCACTAGGCTCACTGCAAGACAGAGAGCAACTGTCCCAGAAGTTTTAGCATTACATCAGAAGGAGAAACCACAGAAGGATAGTTTTAGGATAGGATCAGGGCTAGGTGATTCAAGGCAAAGGCTACAAGACACAGGAACAGAACTTGTCTCATGTAAGGTGCAGGGGCTCAATGTGAGTACTGACCAGCAAGCTACAGTCCTGGTGACTAACCAAGTTAGTGAAACTGGATAACAAAATTAGCTTTCAGAAATAAGCCTCTTTAAGAACAAGCAGCCTATGTTCCAGGACAGGCTCCAAAACAAACAGAGAAACCCTGTCTCAAAAAAAACCAAAACAAACAAAAAAAGAACAATCAGGCCAGTCCCTTTCTCTTGTTCTAAGATAGTCAAATGCATTGCATCACAAGTGTCACTACAGGTTGTCCTGTAGGTTTTATTATCATGTGCGTTTGTCTCATCTTCTTGGCTAAATGACAAGCTTCTTCATGTTTAAAACCTTCTGACCAGACAGTACCCAGCTCTATGATAGGGCAAACAATTTCCCTCAATAAAACATCACCTCTTATCTGAGTCTTTGGTAACACAAGATGTTCAAGGCCATGAGATAGTTCTGCAGGCAAAGGCACTTGCTGCCTAATGACCTGAAGCCAATCCCCAGGATTCACCCATATAGTAGGAGAAAACAGATCCCTGAAAGCTGACCTCCAAACATACATTCTCTCCCTCCCTTCTTTCTCCCTCCCACCCTTCCCTCTTCCCTCCCTCCTTCAGTCTAGTGCTATGAAGAGACACCATGACTATAGCAACTGTTATTTTTTTTAAAAAAAGCATTTAATTGGGGTTTGCTTACAGGTTCCGAGGTTTAGTCCATTCAGCATAGCAAGAAGCATGCTAGCACGAAGACTGACATGGTACTGAAGAGGTAGCTGAAAGTTCTACATTTAGGCCTGCAGGAAACAGAAGAGATGGAGAGAGAGCCCCTAGGCCTGGCTTAGGTTTCCGAAACCCCAAAGCCCAGCCCCAGTGACACACTTCCTCCAACAAGGTCACCCTCCTAATGCAGTTTAGATGCATGTTATCTTGTGGCAAGATGGTGCTCTCTTCATGTATTTACATTTCTCAGATGTGAAATCATTTCTTGCTAAAACAAACAAAATGAATTTTTGTGAAAGTTTTGGTAACACCTTTTGTACTTTGAAAAAGATTTGGTTAATGCAGTAATTTATTGAAATTAATTTATCCCATGAGAAACCATGGATATTAACAAGAGCAAAAATAGGTTTCATTTCTGAACCCAAAGGAACTTTGGCAATTTGGAGACATCAAGCCTTGAGGCTGCCCTTGCAGGTGGAGCTGGGTCTTGTGAGTAGACAAAATCAGGGATCCTGTAGGGATGGGGATTGAGGAAACTTGAAGAAAGGTCACCATCATGCTGATGGGAGACTGTAGCAGGAATAATAAAAGCCCAGAGGCAGATATTGGGGCTTAAAGCTGAAGACCAGAGAAGCAAAGTGATCACTCACTAGAGAGTTCTCACCTCTACCAATGCTCAGACCTAAGGGCCTATCATGTCCAGATGCACTGCTCCTCAGACTGTCTAGACTGCAATGTGTTCCTGTCTCCTCCCTCTTTATATTCTTCTCTCCACCCAGTCATATCCCTCCTAGTGCTGGGATTAAAGGCATGAGCTGTTTCTTTTTGACTCATTCACTTTCACGTGGCCTGGGGTAGCCTTGAACTCACAGAGATCCACCTGCCTCTGCCTCTAGACTGCTGGAATTAAAGGTGTGTACCACCTGCCTGGCCTCTACGGCTGTGGCTAGCTTTGCATTCTCATCTTCAGGCAAGCTTTATTAGATCATAAACAATATGTCACCATAGGATACTGACTGGCTACCCTAAAGGGAAAGTGGGGAGTGTCCTGCTTCACCTCTGAGCTTCATACAATCAGCTTGTGAACCTGACTGTTCCTTGACTAGGATGTGCGCTCCACGAGGGTGGGCCAGGGCTCTGGCTTGCTAGTGTCTACTGTGGTGACATCACTTCATAAGGAGAAGATTTGAACAGCATTGATATGGGGATGACTTCCTCTGTGTATAGGGAGAGAATCAGCTTTCCTATCAACTCCAGCACAATTGGATGCATTTGTTGTTTAGCTTTCCAAAACTTTGTGGCAGTGACTGTCCCCGACTGTGTCTATCTCCATGGTATGATTTTGGCAGTCGTAGATATTAGCCGCCCTATAATCCTCTCTTATCTCCTTTATTAGGTGTCTCCTCCAAGCTCTGCTTTCATTCTATCACATTTAACAGATCCCGGTCTCAAGTCCAGTTTTCCCTCGGGCAGTTTTCCTTAATTGGTGATTTGGCAGCACTGAGTTTTGTCTTCTAACCTGCCATTTTCCTTCATTTGGAGCAAATTCTGTCGAACAAATGAGTGCCCACTGCACAATTACCAAGCACAAAATGAAAGTGCAAATGTGCATTGTCTTGCCAGAGTAGTGCCTAGTATACTTAAAAAAACAAAAATCAACAAAAACAAACAAACAAAAACGGAGACAAGGATGTGAGATTGACAAGAGACCAGAGAGCTTCATTTTTTCATTCAATTTTATTGCTACAATATCCCATCGGTGGCCTCCAGCTCTCATGGCATCGGCTCCCCGCAATGACAACTAATGAAGAAACGTTGCTTTCTGTTCATTCTTTAACCATTCTTTAATTCTTTAATGGCAATATGGCACTTTCCTTCCTCTTCACGCCATTATGAACAGGCAAGTCTCTAGGGCGCCTCTGATGCATACAGCCCTCATCTCCCTTTGGGATCTCTCTGATTGGATGGTAAATACACTTCCTTCAATAAATTCAGCGTTCCAGATATTTCAAATTATGAGCAGAGACAAGGATTATTCTTCCAGCTGGAGGAAAGGAAAAGCCCAGGGGAAGACTGATCACTTTATTGTTTGTTGTGCTTCTCTGCTCTGTGGACTCCATTCCTTCCTTTTTAATTATTTCCCAGTCATTTTCTTCAGTATACTTTTGATTAAAGCTCCCACAGTTACGGCCATTTTCTTGTGTCATTTACACATGTCTGGCTTCCAAATAGTGTCTAGGCTTAGCAGAAAGTTGTTCTGCCTCTTGCCAGAGTGTCCACTCTGGCTGCATTTCCCATGGGCTCATTTAGTTTCTTGTTTGGTCTCTTTTTCAGATCCCTTCTGTTGGCCCAGAAGTATAGAATCTGCACCTCAGAGACTCCAGTATAAATACCACTAAGATTAAGCTGCCAGAACTATCAAGGCATGGGTTCATGATGTTCACAATTCAGTCTGAACACCCTCTCCCCATCCTGAAACAAGGTTCTGGGTTAGGTTCAAGCTAACTGGGGCATAACCTTAAATAGAATGGCATTGCCAAGATCCAAGGACAAAGGGGATTTCATCTGGGGACTAGGGAGCAAACTAGCTCTTTGCCTACTTTGTGAGCTTTTCAGAGGACAATGGACAGATTTTTATGTTCCTGCACACAAATGAATCTCCACCACACAAAAACATCGCATTAAAGAGAGAGAGATTTCCACTGAAGCGTCTCAAATGGCATGAAAAACTGGTAAGTAGATTAAGACATTTCTTTTTAATTGTGGGAAAAGAAAAGTTGGTAAACATTTTTAAATAATATTTTTTCACATACAAGTGAAATTGTTGAGTATGAATGCCTAGCAAGGGCTAGCTGACATTATCATTGTAATTACCAATGCCATTGTTAGTAATTCAAAGCAACAAACATTTATTGAAGCATTGTTATAAATGATGGAGGAAAATAAACGGCATAGCCCTTGAATTAGGCAGCACGACAGTGACAGAAAGGAATGTGCAGATGGCTGCTGTAAGGGAAGGTGGGACAGTCCAGGGTCTAACGAGGCAACCCAAAGGGAGCAAATAATTCGGACTTGGGCACTGAGAAAAAATTGGCATTAAAATGTATTATGTTTTTCTCCTTACTGTGACCAACACTTGATGAGAAGCGGCTGAGGGAAGGCTGGCTTTCTTGTGGCTCACAACCCATTATGGTGGGAAAGGTGTGACTGTGAGAGCATGAAGCCATTTCTCACATTCCAGTTGTGAACAGGAAGGAAACAGAGACAAATGCTTCCTTCCGTTCAACTCACTCTTTCCCTTTCCCTCCTTCATACTTAGTGTGTAGAATCACAGCCTGTGGAATGACCACTCATGGTGACCTTCGCCCCTCAGTTAAATCTTTCTGGAAACTTCATCACAAACACACCCAGAGGCATGTCTCCTATATGATTCTAAATCCAAGCAAGTTGACATTGCAGATTATGTCACAAGGTATCTGGAGGCTTTCAGTTGGTTCTATAGGTTGTTGGAATTGAACAACTGAAGTCACACAGGCAAGAAGCAAACTTGTATGTTCATGGAATGCTGAGGAGTCTCAGGTTGGAACGGAGGGCTATAAAGGAGCAGACTGATGTCTATGATAACTACCTTCAGGTGGACTTGGGTACCATGCCCCTTACTTATATTTTATGGAGGTGATACAGTGTGCCATTAGAAATGCAATAGACTAAGACTGTCAATCTCTATCCAGACATTTCATAGCTTTCTGAGCTCCAATACCAGTTTTTTTTTCTGATTCATAAAATGGAGATAATAATAGTTACTACCTAAGATTGTTGTGAAAACAGACATATGTAAAAGAAATCAACATAAAAGGTAACTGTTGTAATGTGTTTTAATATTGTAGATGGATCATTGTCACAGATATTAAAAGTTAATTGGGGGACACAAGAAAGGTGAAGAATTCGAGGCCAGCCTGGTCTACAGAGGGAGTTCCAGGACAGCCAGGACTGTTATACAGAGAAACCCTATCTCAAAAAACCAAAAAAAAAAAAAAAGAGAAAGAAAAAGGTAAAGAAGCAAAGGAAGAGGAGAATGGAAAAGAGGAGGCAGAAGACGAGGAAAAGGAGAAGATAGTAAGTAGTTAATATAATTACAATGCCCAAGATGTTATGGAGAAATTTAAATGAGGAAGAGAGTTTGCTAACCAGTAAGTGAGGTATCTATCTTTTGGGGGAAAATTCCCACATATTAATGTACCTTAAAAATTATTTTGGAATTATTTATCTTATATGCATGAGTGCTGTGCCTCCATGTATGTATATGAACCACATGCTTGCCTGATGCCTGTGGAGGTCAGAAGAGCGCATCAGATCTCCTGGAACTGGAGTTACAGGTATTTGTGAGCTACCATGTGGGTGCTTGGGGTTGAATCCAGGTCCTCTTCCAGAGCAACAAGTTCTTTTAACTCTCGAGTGACCTCTTCAGCCCTACCCTGTGATAGTTTGAGTGAAAACTGATAGTTATCAGAGGTTCATAGGGAGTGATATTAAGGATGAGGACATGTGGCCTTGTTGGAAAAAGTGTGCCACTGGGAGTGGGCTTTGAGGTTTCAGAAGCTCAAGCCAAGCTCAGTGGCTCACTTGTCTTCCTGCTGCCTGCTGATTTGGATGTAGAACTCTCAGCTACCTCTCCAGTACCACATCTACCTGCACGCTGCCATATTTCCCACCATAGTGAAAATGGACTAAACTTCTGAACTGTAAACCAGCTCCAGTGAAATATTTTCCTTCATAAGAATTGCTATGATCATGGTAATAAAACCCCAGCTAAGAAAAAAATTGAGTGTGCCCAGAACAAGCTTGCCTACCATCTTTTACTAATCCCAAAGACTCAAGGAGAAAGATCACCTACCTAAATCATCATGGCCAAATTAACTAAAGCAAGCAATTAATTAAAACGAGCTTTTTTTATTCCTTTACTTGGGCTGTCTATTCAGCATTGGATATGGGGAATATATAGCCTTTATGGCTCAGGTGTAGGGGGTTCCCAATGGGGGATTCGGCAGGCAAATAGGCAGGGATACAGAAACAGAACATGGCAAAATGAACATAACAAGGAAGTTAAAACAAGGTAGTCATAACAACAGGTGGTTATAATCACCCTTTGAAACAAAGGTAGGATTGCAAAATGGTCATAACAACTTTTTCAAACAAAGACATGACTTTCATTCCCTAAACAGGCAGTACAGCATGATTTGTAGTTAAGGTTACAGATGGGGCATAGTCCAATCCTTGAGAAACAGGGGTTTAATAATAAACAGGAATAAACCTATTTTGTCTTTACTATACTGTGGCTTTCAAGCCTAAGATGGAGAAAAGCTGGCTCATCACGTCACGATGCAAATGCAATCTGAGGTCTTTATGGGATGAGCTCCTGTCCACCATTTTACCCTTTCAAACATGCATTATGATCTTTAGCTAAACATACCCCCAAATGCATCTCATGTCTTTCCATCTATAATGGCTATTCCTGGTTGTCAACTTGACTACATCTGGAATTAACTAAAACACACGTGGCTGGGCACACCTATGAGGGATTTTTTCTTAATTAAATTATTTGAAGTAGGAAGACCCACTTCTAATCCAGATATTTGAGGTGGGAAGACACATCTTTAATCCAGACCTTTTGAGGAGCAAGATCCACCTTTATTCTGGACCACACTTTCTGGTGGCAGCCAATAGAAAGGACATGGAAGAAAGAAGCTTGCTTTCTTTGTCTACTTGCTCTTGCTGGCAAGTTCATTTCTTCACTGACACTATAGCCTACTTCTTCAAGATTTGCATGGATGCTAAAGCCTAACTGAGACACCCAGCTTCATGGACTGAACAACCGGATTCTTGGACATTCCATTGGTAGACAATCATTATTGGACTAGCTGGACCACAGCCTGTAAGCCAGATTACATATAATATTATATATATGTATATATATATTCATTCTATAAGTGCTGCTCCTCTAGAGAACCCTGACTAATACACCATCTTAAACTGCTTCTTAAATTGAGCATGTTCATCAGTGTGTCCACTATCAAGGTGCTTTCCCATAGGAATATGTATAAGTTCTTCCAAGAAGATCTCATGCTTCCTTTGTCTGAGGAAGCCATTGATTTGGAAGTAAATACTTGCTCTTTTTACTTGTTGCAGGCAATCAACTTTTCCACGCTGTTTTATTTCTTGTCCATGCTTGCTCTGAGTGTTTTCTCTCTCCACCGCCTAAGATGACTACATTCAGTTTCAGGTTGATAAAACTTTGTGGTTTAGAGGACATGAAGGTAAAGAGGAGTGGAATGGAAATTTATATTCTGTGTCACTGTGGCAAGTGTGTAATTTCCTTTCTGATTTTACAGGACTTTACAATTAAAAGATGGTTTGTACTTTTAAACAGTGTTGGAATCAAGAGACTATGGAAACCTTCAATGTTGGACTAAGTACATTTTGCAACATGCTATCACCACAAGTCAAAGAATGGAATGCAGTGGTCTGAATGAGAATGGGTCCCATAGGCTCAGATGTTTGAATACTTGGTCCTTAGTTGGTGCAACTGGGTAAATATAGGAGGTGTGACCCTATTGGTGGAAGCATATCTCCAAGGGTAGGTTCTGAAGTTTAGAAAACCTCTCATCATTTCCAGTGCTCTGTGCTTAGTCCTCAGCTTCCTGCTACAGCAATCACCCTGATCCTTGCTGCCAGGCTTCCCAACCATGATGGAATCTTCTCCCTCTGAACTCCTTCTATACTTTACCTTGGTCATGGTGTTTTATCACAGCAACCCAAAATCAGTTAATTCAAGAGAAATGTGGTGAGTCAAAGTTTTAGCTTTAATGATCGACAACACTGTTCACTATGATGGTGCTATTAGAAACAGGAACTTCGGAGAAGAACAATTTAGGGTTATTCATGAGAAAGATGTCATTCAGTTCAGCTTCAGACATGATGAGAGTTATTTTTTCTTGGGACTCCTGCAGCTGTTATCACAAACTGGCTAGATTAAGACCACATATATTTGTTGACTCACAGTCCTTGTAATGCTATTCTTGAGGGTCAACTTGACTACTTCTGGAATTAACTCAACCCACGCAGCTGAGTACACCAGTAAGAGATTTTTCTTGATTGAATTATTTGAAGGGGAAGACCTGCTCTAAATCTGGAAGATCCACCTTAAATCTGGGCCACAGCTTTATGCATGCCTGTATAAAGGGCATGGAAGAAGGAAGACCTTCTTTGCCTGCTTGCCCTCATTCTCACTGGCAAGTTCATTCCTTCACTAGTATCAGAGCCACTTCCCTAGGATTTCAATAGATACTGAAGACAAACTGAGGCATACTTTATGGACGGAACAAGTACTTTATTCTTGGACTTTTTGAAATAGATAGCCGTTGTTGAACTAGCTGAACCACAGCCTGTAAGGCGTGCACACACACACACACACACACACACACACACACACACACACCACGTGTGTGCATTCATTTACTCATCATTTGCTCATTCTATCAGTTCTGTTCCTCTAGAGTACCTTGACTGATATGACTTAATGTAGCCTGGAAGTCTTAGATCAAGCATCATAACGGTCAAGTTACCCCTCAAGCCTGTGGGGAAGAAGTTCTGTTTACTTCTTTCTGCCTTTTGAGGTTTGCTAACAATGCTTGGTATTCCTTGGCTCCCCCACAATGATGAACCAACTGTACTCTTGAATTTTTTGTGGGGGGAGGTGGTTTGAAGACAGGGTGTCTCTGTGGCTTTGGAGGCTGTCCTGGAATTCACTTTGTAGACCAGGCTGGTCTCAAATTCATCTGCCTGCCTCTGCCTCCAGAGTGCTGAGATTAAAGACGTGTGCCACCACCTCCTGGCTACTCTGAAATTTTTAGGTAAAAACAACCCCTTTCTCTCCTAAGAGAGGAGTTGGTTTTTGTCAGGGTGTCTTATCACAGCTACAGAAATGAAACTAGAACAGACAGTTTTATGGGACAGTGCTTCTCCAATGTGACCCCTGGACCAGTGGTATCACATGAGCATGTGGTAGAAACTCAAATTCTTTGGTTCCACTCAAGACTACCAAGTAAGAAATGTGGGTCCAGCCAGGATTCCGGGGTCTGTGCTACATAAAGCCCTCTGATTGATTCTGATATGTGCATGAGCATGTGTGAAAGCTGCTGTTTTGGAAAACACTAAGCACCCACTCACAAGCAAAAATGAAAAAATGGAGGGATTTTTCTGTGTGAGATATTCACAGCAAATTTCTGCTTAGTGTTCTAGATCAGGGCTTTGAAGATTACTTGTTCTCTAAATACAGAAGAGAGGAGCAGGGTTTTAATTAGCAATGTGATTAAAGGCAGCAGAAGCTTAATACAACCCCTATGATTAAGCTTATCTTACTATAATGTTAATCACATGATAGATTAGTCTTCCCTCTGTTACTATAAGCAAGGTTAATATTTTATTGGGAAGAGTGTAATTGGACCATAAGGTCATCCCTCTTGGTGAGATGGGTAGCATATCCTTGAAGGTGTATTAGTTGAGTTTTATTAGTTACTTTTCATTACATGATAAAATACCCGAAATAAGCGATTTGAACAGGAAAGGTTTGTTTTGTCTCACAGCTTAAAGATGTATATAGTTCATCATGTGGGGAAAGCTTAGTGATAGGACCAACATGCGGCTGCTTGTTCACGTCGTGGTAGATCAGGAAACGAGAGACAGAAAGAAGGGTAGAGTTATAAAACCTCAAGACTTGCCCCCACCCCACCCCCACCAGTGATCTACATGCTCCAGTAAGATCCCACTTCTTAAAATTCCAACAACTTCCCCAAAACAACACCACCAGCTGTTTATGTGTTTAACACATAAGCCTATGAAGGACATCTCACATTTTAGCCATAGCAAAGATGATCCATCTAGGGACAGGAAAGATGTGTAGGGAGTACCATCAAAACATGACTGACAGAAGCGAAGGAAGGACAAACTGACTCCAGCACCCTCGATCTTTCTGTGAGATTAATACATTTCTCTGGCTTTCCTAGAAAAAAAGGAAAGGTATAGAAGAGTAAAGAGTAGAGAGAGTTTGGCAGGAGGCCTCCCATTCATTGTCAAATTCATTCTGTCACAGTATATTGTAGCTCACATTCAATTTTGGAATACATTATCTATAGTAATTGTTCTCTAAACAGACAAGTGAAGTTTCCAAAAAACAAATTTGAACTGAAATCTCATCTTCATGGAGAAAGGAAAGAGCTGAAGAGCTCATGTCTATCCTCTGCCTGACCAGGGCAGCTTAATTCAGGAAGGATGCTAGAAATGGCCACCTCCTCACTGTAACCAGACAGGTCACCTTAACACTCTGTGCTGCAGTTTCCAATGTGTGAGAGTGGATGAGAGGAACACACATACACACACTCTCTCACACACACTCACATGAACACACACACATACACACTCACACTCACACACATGCACACTTAAGCAGAGAGATTGTGGGAATTAAACAAATTGATACTTTAAATATTTTTAGGTCAAAGCCCAATATATACCATAAAGTACAAGTTTGCTGCAACAAAAGGGTGTAAGGGTTGGAAGGATGCCTCAATAGGTAAAATGCTTGTCTTACAAACCTGGGGACCTGAGTCAGATACTCAACACCCAGGTAAAAATGCCAGGAAGGTAGCACAGGCTTCTATCTCAGCACTGCGGGAGTAGAGACAGGAGGATACCCAGGACATACCCACCAGCCAACCTAGTCTAATTGCTAAATTCAAGGCCAATAAAAGTCCCTGTCTCAAAGGAAGTGGGCAGTATTCCTGAGCATGCCATCCAGTGTTATCCTCTGACTTCTGCACACACACACACACACACACACACACACACACACACACACACTTTGAATGCTATGAATTTAAATTTTTTTAACTTTCTTTCTATTTGTTATCTGTGTCTTTCACATCATGCATCTCAATCCCATTCATCTCCCTCTCCCTTTGTAACTGCCCTCTGCCCTTGCAACCTCCACCCTCCCCCAAATCAAGTAAAAGAGAAAATTAGAGCGAGCGAGAGAGACAGAGACATTTCATTATGGAAGCTATGGTGTGACATAGTGAATCACGCAGTATACCGTTTTGTCCATACATCTTTAGTTCCAAGTGATCATTGCAAAGAATCATTGGTTTGGTTCGAGGCCTCTGGTTCCTGCTACACTGTCAATGCCGGGCCCTCACTGGGACTCCTTTTGGATATCCTGTTTCCCTGTGTTGTGGAGATCCTGTAACTTTAGATCTGCAAGACATGTTCCAGCAGATGTTGGATCAGGTAGATGTTGAGGTAGGCCAATGACAACCCTGGTTCTGGGCCTGGATGGTTGCAGGGTTGGTCAGCCCACTAGCTCTCCCTGTCCTCTCGACCAGGGTGAGCTCTCCAGCATTGCCCTGGCCAGTTTACCCCTTGCTGTAAGGGGTGGCAGGACTGGTTCTCCTGTTTTCACACTCTCAGGGCTGGCTGACCTACACCTGCACCAGCTCTATTGTGCTGCCCAAGTGCTGCAGCTGGTGAGGGGTTGGATCAGCTTCCCCACCTACCTCTGGTAGGGAGGGGCAAGGTTAAATTTACTAGCTCACTAATTGGAAGGAGAGATCGGTGGGAGAAATCAGGGCAGGGCTCAGGAAAGGGCAGGGCTTTTATGAGTAGTATTGTCCTAAGAAACTGGTACAACATAAAGTAGATATGAGTTCATGGTAAAAAGGAGGCAGAGGCAGGCTGATCTCTGAGTTCGAAGCCAGCTTGATCTACAGAGCGAGTTCCAGGTTAGACTCCAAAGCTACACAGAGAAACCCTGTATCCAAAAAAAAAAAAAAAAATCAGCAGTTGAGCAGTTTGCAGTTTGGGTGACAATGTATGCTCTTTAGATTCTAGATGACATGATCCAGGGGCTGACTGCAGTAGCAGTGTCTACAACTCTGTAGAAGCCAGTAGTCTTTCAGTGCTCAGGTAAACAAAACCATGGATAGGTAATTCATTTGAGAAACTCTTAGGACAGGTGATGGCTTGATTTTTTTAATTATCAAAATCGGTCACTATTAGATAACAGGTCTATAATGAGATAATTAATTTTCAATATGTCTTCCTTCTTCCTCTTCTCCTACCCTTTCTTCTACTGAACTGTGTAAATTGAATTGAGAGCTAGGAGTTTAGTCCCAGGATGGCAGGAGATAAGATCACTCATGACTTGAGGCAGCCAGATCTCTAAGTTTGAGGCCAGCCTAATCTACATAGCAAGTTTCAGGCCAGCCTGGGCTATATAGAAAGACTGCCAAACAAACAAACAAACAACAAACAAGCAAAACCCAAAGAACAGCAACAAAACACATGTACACAAAATAAATAAACCATGACTTAATAACAGTCCAAATTACAAAACAAAACAAACAAACAAAAACCAAGACAGAATGAAGGCTGCGGGGCAGGATCCTGTTTGTGAGACTGGTTAAAGACAACAACAACACGAAAGTTCCTAAACTGCTACAGGGATTGCTCTGTGTTCAGGAGAGTGAGCTAGGCCAGCATAGCCAAAACCAGCTCATAGGCAGGTGTGTTACTACCTGCAAGGAGCCCCATTTCCAAAGCTCTGAGTGCCAGCTCAGGGAGCCGGCATTGCTCCTGATGGCGGCTGTTTGCTGTGCGCTCCTAATGATGGTTAATATCTGAACAAACTTTACTCCCCAAGCTCTCGATGACTCCATCAGTGATGCTGGGACTCGGAGACGCTAATGAAGCAGAGTGTCTGGCAGAGGCAGGAGGGAAGGAGTTGGGGAGAATGAAGTCATTCCTACCAGCAGCCGATGAAAGGGAAGTGTTGGAACAAAGGCACTGCTGAAAGCAATTACATATTTAAATTCCCTTCACCCTGTGTGGCAGGAAAATTTCATTTTATCACCCTCTCTCCTGACATGTTAAGATACATAAGCTTTTGAATCCTGAGGGGCTCTGATCTCCAGAGATAAAAATAAGAGGCCGGATATCCAAGGGGGCATTTTGGCACCAGGTGATGGACGGTTAGGACATTTAGAAAACAGCTCTGTCACTCATCTCTCCTCTGTCCACAGAGGGGATTGTCTATGTCAGCCAAACCTGTCTCTCCACCTGGTTACCCTCATATCCTGTGCTGATGTTGCCACTGCCTCAGTGACTGGAGACCATTCTGATGGTTATAGAAATGGAGCTGAGGGGGTGGGGGCTCTGTCTCGCTGTGGTTTGCTACCTTCAAGAAAATGGCTGTCCCTAATTACACAAAATGATAGAGAGAGCAGTTGACTGAAATCACTGCAAATGACTGTTATTTCTCCGAATAGCTTGAAAGAATAGGTCAGCCTGGCTAATACACTAACAGCACTCTTTTCTGCAGATGTGATTTCCATCGCATTTCTCTGTGCTTAGGTGCTGAGTGGCATCTGTACTGGCAGGGAAAACAACTCCTTTTTGTTTTCTTCTTGTGGAGACCTCCGAAGACTCATTTATGTGCGGAGTCAATGATTTGTTCTATCAAGTAAGTCGTGCATCTGTAGTTAAAAAAAAAAACAGAAACAAAAACAAAAACGAGAAAGATGGCTTTGAGTTCGAGAATGATGGTTGTGCCAGCCCAGCAACACTTAAGGTATGAAGCTTTTGTTTGTGTTGTTTGTACTAGACAGACTGAAACACTTTACTTTACTTTGTCTAGTTGTTTTCAGTTTCCCGTGTGTGTGTGTGTGTGTGTGTGTGTGTGTGTGTGTGCGCGCGTGCGTGCGTGCGTGCGTGTGTAGAGAGAGAGAGAGAGTGTGTGTGTGTATATATGTATGTATGTATGTATGATATATTTTGGAGACAAGGTCTCATGTAGCCCAAGCTGGCAGTCTTGAACTCACTGGATAGCTGGGAATGACCTTGAACTTCCTGATCAGAGTGCTTGAATTATAGGGTCCTAGGAATCAAATCCAGGGCTTAGTACAGATCAGGAAAACATCCTGCCAACTGAGCTATATCTCTGGCCCCAGCACTCAACATGTAAACCTACTGTACAAGCCATTCGAGTTATTTTGATTGATACACATAGTGCCTTACCTGCTGATCTCTGGCCCTGCCAAACCCCTGGATGTACCAGGAGATCAGAACCCAGGTAGGGTTGAGCCACATGCAATCTTGGAACTCTCCATTCTTGTTCTCCTCAGGTAGGTGGCTGTATCCTGGTAACGGCGATAGTCAAATGGTATGCTGGCCACCCCACCAGAGCTGCATTGTCCCCAGGGAGGCAGGGCTGCGGTGAAGGAGTGATCCCTCTGTCCCTAGAGAAGGTGCTATAGAAACATCCCCAGGAGTCCAACTGCTTCTCTCCATGGTTACATAACTGGACCTGTGGGGTAATGGCTATTACAGGCCAATTCAGCTCAACAAACAAGAACTGTACGTCTATCATAGAATACCTGTTTGGAAACACCTGGGGCTGCTGAGAACCACAGCACAGCTGGAAATCACCTGTAGCTCTAACCCATGGAATCCTCACATACACACCATTTAAAAAACAAATAATTAAAAAAAACCTGTTTTTATAGTCGATAGACAATGATGCTGACAGTAGTTCTTTTAACTGCTGTGCATGTGAATAAGGTATAATGGTTCTCAGGAGGTGTGGTGTATAACTCAGGTGAAGGGGCGCACACACAAGAGGCGACAAGAGGACTAGAGTGATGACTCAGCAGCTAAAAGTACTGGTTGCTCTTCCAGAGGATCTGGATTCAATTCTCAGCACCCACATAGCAGCTCAAAGCTGTCAGTAACTCCAGTCCTATTGTTAGGAATAAGGCGTAATGGGCTGAGACCAAAGGTAGGTCCCCAGTCCCTCAGCGGGTGATGGAGGGCTAGCAGATGGGGAAACAGAGACCTGTAGACGAGACTTATATTGAAAGTTTTATTGAGAGGGAGATAAGAAAATAAGGGAAGGAAAGAGAAAAGAGGTAAAGAGACATAGAGACAGGACAGAAGAGAAGCAGGGGCAGGGGAAGACAGGAAAGATCCTGTGTGTCCTCCAGAGGAAGCGGGGAGCAAAAATGGGTACAGCCATGCACAGGTGGGTGAGAGGTGGGGCCAGGTTTGCCTGGATTACAACATCTGTGAGATCCAACATCTTCTGGCCTCTTTGGACACTACATGGACATGTTATACAGATACTTCTGTAAGCAGAAACCCATATACATAAAAATAAAGGTTTAAAAAAACAAATGTGGCTACACAAGGCAGGCTTAAGTAAATGAAGTAATTTGCCATAGGACAGTTGCTAAGGAGGTATCTTTTAGCTCTGACTGGACTAGAACTCACTATGTAGACCAGGCTGCCTCAAACTCACAGAGATCTGCCTGGGTCTGCCTCCCAAGTGCTGGAATTAAAGAAGTTCACTACTGTACCTGATTAAGGAGATGTCTTTTGTTTGTTTGGTCAGTGGGTTTTTCAAAATAGGGTTTCTCTGTGTAACAGTCCTGGCTGTCCTGGAGCTTGCTTTGCAGACCAGGCTGGCCTTGAACCCACAGAGATCCACCTGCTTCTGTCTCCAGAGTGCTGAGATTAAAGGCATGGGCCATGGTGCTTAGCTAAAGAGGCATCTTTTTTTTTTTTTAAGAAGATAGATTGATTTATTTGAAAAGTAAAATTACTCGGTAGTATTTAGTTTGAGAACTGGGGGTAGGCCTGTGTGATTGGCAGTGGCAGCTGGAAACACACCAGCAAACACAAAAGCAAGCACCAGAAAGTGGTAAAATGTTTTTAAAAAGGAGACTGAAATGGCGCAGACCTGCCATCGCCGCCTCCCTCCCTCTTTTAAGAATGGTTTTAATACAAAATTAGGGCCTAGGAGATGGCTCAGTCACTACAGTTCATTCCATGCAAACTCAAGGACCTGATTTGATCCTCAGAATCCACATAAGAAATCTGGGTGCAGTACACACTTGTAATCCCAGCACTGGGGAGGCAGAGATGAATAAATTCCTGGGGCTCCCGGGTCACCCAGCCTAGCCTACTCAGTGAGGACAAAGTCAATGAGAGGCCCTGTCTCAGTGAAGAAACTGTCATTCTAAAAATGACACCCTCCCTCACAAACACACATACACACTTGTGTACACACACACATACACACACACACAAAGCATAATACTAGAAAAAAATAATCATCACTTGCAAGTGAGGTGTAAGTGATTTTAATGCGTTCAGAAGAGTAACCACGACTAATTCATTTTAAAGACTCATCTGCATCTCAATGATGGCATCACATTTCCTAGGAGCCATCTAGAGGAAGGGGAATGATGAGAGGAGAGACCACATGTTCTCAGCATTCCTAGCATTCTGTGCTCAGCATCCTAGGCTCAGCTTTCCTGTTCATCCTTGACTGCAGCACTTCCCACTTTGATTAAGAACTCTCTCAGCAGCCTTCTGGTATATTTTATTTTGAACTTAAGCTGGTTTGCATTGGGTTTCTTCCCCTCCTTTTAAACAAAAGTCCTCAATAACAGTGTGTCTTCATGGGTGAATCTTTTCATTGCAGACTAAGAGAACATCCCCATTCTGCTTCTCTGACTGCACTGCTCAGCTAGGGAAGCTGAGCGTTCACACAGTTCACACCGCCACAGTCTTTGATCTGGGGAGGTCTGCTAGTCCAGCACTGAGCAAGAGGCATGTTCAGTCAAGACATTCTGAAATTCTGGGGCAGACCATTTGCAGGCCCATTTTATTAATAAAAATATTACATTTATTTGTTTAGTGTGTGTGTGTGTGTGTCCGTGTGCACTATACCTGCATAAAGTGGGGTGCATTTGTAATTCCACCTCTGGCGAGGCAGTTGGGCGAATTCCTTGGACTGTTTGACCTACTCCATGAACTCAAAGCCAACAAGAGACCCTGTCTTAATGAACAAGAAGGATGTCTTCTGAGGAATAACACCTTGGACTTGTCCTCTACCCCCATCTTCCCACCAGAAGCTGTCTTCTTACTTAATTTTACTTTTTATAATATTTATTTATTTTGTGTATAAAATATATGAACATATACATATATACATGTACCACAGCATAATGGTATAGAAATTAGCAATTCATTCCTTTTTATTGCTGAGTAGCATGCAATAATATGAATACAGCTCTCTCTGTGGATAGGCATTTATGTTTTCTACTAACTCTCTAAGTAATGTGAATTAAGCTGCTACTAACAAATCACTTTGTGCATATGTTATGTCATTTCTCTAGTCCAGACAGGAGTAGAATAGCTGGGTGAAGGGGTAGGTGTATATTTAATTCTGTGTGTATTTATGTGTGTATGTTCAAAATGTTCCCGACACGGTTGTTCATCTACATTAGTAAGACAAGAGTGCACTTTTAGCATTGTCAATAATTTTACTTATAGTTTTCATGTGGCTTTGGGTGGTATCTTGCTGTGGTTTTAATTTGCAACTTTCTGATGAGTGATAGTATCAGGACACTTCTCATGTGTTTATTGAGTCATAACTTTCTCTTTGTGAAATATTTGCTCTAGTCTTTCATTTATTCAAGAAACCGAGTTCTTTGACATTTCTTTTTATCGTAGGTTCTATAGACACAAGTCCTTTGTGTGTGTCTATGAATACAAGGTTCTGCCTGCATATATGCATGCACTGCAGGCCAGAAGACGGCACCAGAAGGCATTCTAGATGGTTGTGAGCCATCTGCCTGCCTCTGCCTTCTGAGTGATAGTATTACAGGTATTATCTACCATGTCTGGCTTTATGTGGTTGTAGGGATGGTTTTTAAGCAGTACTAGGTATCAAACCCAGGCTTTGTGTGTTCCAGGCAAGCACTCTACCAACTGAGCCATTCTCCAGCCCTTAATAGTGTCTATTGAGGAGCATAAACTTTACAATTGATGAAGTCTTAGTTTCCAATATTTTTGTCAAAAGTTGGTGCTCTTTCTGTCCTATATAGCTACATCTAAGCAAGAAAGATGTATAGGAAAGAGAGACAAACCATTTTCTCCTTGTATTCTCAATATCAAAACAAACCATTTCTAAGAACAAATGGGTCGAGGAGATTTCCCCCAATAGCAATCCTTTCATGTAAGGTAGATATTCCTTAGTTCAATTCATTTCAATCCAGTTCAGCTTAATTCAACACCTGGGATTAGTGCCATGTCCCACAGTCTAAGGAATCTGAGACTACCCCAACTTTAGATGTGTGAATCAGCAATGGAGCTGCTTCGTCCACATTAGCCATGTGTAGTAGTTCAAGTTGGAGTGGTGATTCGAATACAAAATGTCCCCGTAGGCTCAGGTATTTGAAGCCTTGCTCCCCAATTGGTGATGCTGTTGTTTAGTGAGATGCTGTCTTTTCTTCTTGTCTTTCTGCACTGTTTAAGATCCATGATTCAGGACTGGAGAGGTGACTAGGTGGTTAAGACCATGTACTGCTTTCACAGAGGACCCAGACCCAAGTTTGGTTCTGAGCACCTTTGCCAGGCAGCACATAACAACTTACAGTGCCAGGAGATCCGATGCCCTCTTCTGGCCTCTGTGGGCATCTGCACACACATGCACATATCCCTTATGCCCCCACATATCACCCAAACACATCTTAAAGACCTGCAATACAATGTAAATAGAAGTGGCAGTTTCAGAAAATTTTGCATTGTTCTCAGTCTTAGTGAGATAATGTTCAGTATGTGGCTAATTTGATACTAATGTAGACTTTTTATAGACTTAATCAGCTGGAGAGGTTTCCTTTATTTGCTGAGAAATTTATAATAAATGGCTATTGAATTTTGCTACTGGTTTTTTCATCTACTGAGATGATCATACTGCACTCTCTTTAATTCTGTTAACACAATGAATTACAGATGTATTTGAATTATTAATCTAACATTGTACTCCTAGAATAAATCTCACTTTGTCATGGGTTATATGTATCACCAAACTTGACTTGTTCATAACTTTTGAGGTTTTTATATTTATTGATAAGGAAGCTTAGGCTATGGTTTTCTTGTCTTATAACAAGGTCTACATTTTTTCCCATTTTTAAATTTTTTTATTTCATTTTACATTCCAGCCACAGTTCTCCTTCCCACCCCTCCTCCCATGTCCCCACCTCCTCCCACCCTTTCACCTACCCCCAGCCCATCCCTTGTTCACTCCTCAGGGGTAAGGGCTCCCATGAGGAGTCAACATAGTTTGGCACAATAGGGGCAGGGCCAGGCCCCTCTCCCATGCATTAAGGCTGAGCATGGCATCCCACCATAGGGAATGGGCTTGAACAAGCTAGCTCACATACCAGGTTTGTAGAGTGATCCTACTGCCAGAGGTCCCTCTGATAGTCCAAGTTTCACAACTGTCTCCCACATATGGAGGGCCTAGTTTGGTTTCCTGGATCTCCACAATTGTAGGTCTAGAGTTCATGCGTTTCCATGAGCTTGGTTCAGCTGTCTCTGTAAATTTCTCCACCATGATCTTGAACTCCCTTGCTCCTATATTTCCTCCTCCTTCTCTTCAGTTGGATTCCTGGAGCTTGGTCTGGTTCTTGGTTGTAAATTTCTGCATTGGGTTCCATCAATTACTGGATGAGGGCTCTATGATGATAGTTAGGGTACTCATTAATCAGAATACAGGGGTAGGCCATTTCAAGCATCCTCTCTACTATTGCTAGGAGTCTTAGCCAGGTTCCTCCTTGTGGATTCTTGGGAGTTACCCTAGCACCAGGTTTCTCCCTAAGCCCACAGTGGCTCTCTCTATTAAGATATCTTTTTCATTGCTCTTCCACTGCATCCCTCCCCGCCTAGGCCACCTCTTTCCTCCTGTTCTCATCCCCCTCCCTCTCACTTGCCTCCCCTTCACCCTCAGTTTGCCCTGTAGATATCATCTAATTTCTCTTCTTAGGGAGATTCTTGTTACCTAGCTTCTCTATAGCTGTGGATTTTAGTCTAGTTATCCTTTGTTTTACATATAATATCTACTTATGAGTGAATTCTTGTCTTTCTGAGTCTGGGTTACTTCACTCAGGGTGGTTTTCTCTAGTTCCATCCATTTGCCTGAATATTTCATGAGGTCATCATTTTTGCTGCTGAGTAGTACTCCATTGTGTAAATATATCACATTTTCCTTATCTATTCTCCAGTTGAGGGGCATCTAGGTTGCTTCCAGGTTCTGGCTATTACAAACAATACTGCTATAAACATAGTTGAGCAAATGTCCTTGTGGTATGGTTGAACTTCCTTTGGGTAAATGTCCAAGAGTGGTATCACTGGGTCTTGAAGTAGTTTGATTCCCAATTTTCTTAGAAACTGCCACACTAATTTCCAAAGTGACGGTACAAGTTTGCACCCCTACTAGCAGTGGAGGAGTATTCCCCCGACTTCACATCCTCTCCAACATAAGCTGTCCTCAGTATTTTTTATCTTAGCCATTCTGATAGGTATAAGATGGTATCTCAGAGTCATTTTGATTTACATTTCCCTGATGATTAAGGATGTTGACCACTTCCTTAAATGTCTTTTGGCCACTTGAGATTCTTCTGGTGAGAATTCTGTTTCATTCTGTACCCCACTTTTCAATTGAATTATTCTGTATTTTGATGTCTAGTCTCTTGAGTTCTTTATAAACTTTGTAGATCAGCCTCTGTCAGATGTAGTGTTGATGGAGATGTTTTCCCATTCTGTAGACTGGCGTTTTGTCTTATTGACAGTGTCCTTTGCCTTACAGAAGTTTTTTAGTTTCAAGAGGTCCCATTTATTGATCAAGGTCTACACTTTTATGAGAGGTAGCTTGGCAATGATTTGGCCTTTGGTTACTATGCTGCTTGGCTGCTCTACAATTACACCAGCTGGCAATCAATTTACTATACCCTAAGACTATATGCATACATACATACATGCATGCATACATACAAATGATGTAGTAGTCTTGGGAGATTTCAATTATTCAGTTCAACTGACTACATAACAAGTTAGATAGACTGGGTCTAAAATAACATTAACATGGCAAAATGAAGGATTCATCACTAAATCTTATACGGAGATAGGAGGGGGAGCTTGTATATTTTTCTATTTCATTCTAATTTTCTTATGTTTTGACTTATATGTTTTAAAGTGAGATAATTCAACTTCTTGGGTGTGGGAGAGAAGGTTTTTAGGTCATATCAGTAATCTTTATGCATAGATGCATCTAAAACTGTTGGTAAGTTCTGGTGGCAGGTCCTTATTAATGACAAATCGAGTGGGGTTTTGTTGACAGCTCTTTGGATAGTTTTCATTTAAGAATCTCCTCTTAAAGGCCATTGTCCCATAACTCTGTCTTAACTTGAAAAAGAAAAATATATTTATATCTGCTGAGAGCTATCAGAAGGGCAAAAAACAAACAAATTGACGAGAAGGAGACAAGATAAGTGTCTTGCATTGTGTTTGGATGTGAAGATAGTAAGAACGTGGTACTAATGTGTTAAAAACACACATGTTTTGACAAAACTGACAACAAAATAGTTGAAGAGGGCCGCCTCCTTAAAATACAAAGCATCCACATCTTTACTTAGGGACAAGTTTGAAATCAGAGATAGGGATGAAGACATGCACACATTGAACTATGAGAATACAATTATAATAAAAAAATTCTAGCAGTAACTAGAATAATTCAATAATTGGAATGTTATATGATAACTAAATGTAATAAATACAATGCAACTGTTGAAAGTTGTATTTGTGAAATATTTACATCATCATAGGAAAGGACCATAATAAAGTGTA